AGGAAATCAATCAAACAATTATTTTATAGCCGAATGCCTTCTAAGAAAATTCAAAATTTTATTCGAAGTGAAAGACTTGATCATTACTTCCATGTCTAACACTTTTTTCACAAAATCAGAATTCCATCCGAAGTCAATAACTTAAAAATTTTCATCCAATAAACTTTTTTTTTTTCATAATTTCCAAAATTCTACTCAGTTTTTTATTTCAAAAACTTTCTAAGGAATTTCATATTTCATTCCAAGCATCTAATCAAACAATCATTTTCTAGCCAAATGTCTCCTGAGGAAATTCAAAATTTCAAAGTGAAAGTCTTGGTCATCATCTCCTTATCTAACACTTTTTCATAAAATCAAAATTCCCTCCAAAGTCAATAACCTCAAGATTTTCATTCAATCAAACACCTTTCATGATTTTTTAAATTCTACTCAGATTCCCCCCCCCCTCCCTCAAAATTCATTCCCCCCAAAAAGCTTCGGATTTTATTTCAAGTACTCAATCAAATAATTAAGTTCTAATCAAATGACTTTTATGATGTGTTTGGTTAGGGGATTAGAGGAGGGATTTGGAAATGGTAGGTGAAATGTGAATAAAATATACCTAAATTTCACATAGTTTCACACACCTTTTCCCTTTCCCTTTCCCTTTCCAAATCATTCTTCAAATCCCCCAACCAAACACAGCATTAGGGGAATTGGAATTTCAATCAAAATGGAAGACTTGGTGACCACTTCTTTGTCTACCATTTTTCCATAAAATCAAAATTCTCCCAAAGTCAATGACTTAAAGATTTTCATTCAATCAAACACCTTTCATAATCTCCAAAGCTCTACCTAAGGTGAAAAGTTCCTACTTTTTTTTTTTTTTTTGGATTTTTTTTTAAATATTTTTGGAGAGGCAATCATTCTCAATTGATCACTAAGGTAGGAATTCAAATTCAAACTCAAATCCTATAAGTTAGGAAACCATCCCGTAATTTATCACTAACTGCTAGAATCAAGACCAAATCAAATCACTGCCTAACTTTAACCTTAGATTTCATAATCGGATCATTGCCTAGAATTTCTCAGATTTCCCCAAAATCAAATCACTGCCTAATCAAACCCTCAGATTTTGGAGTCAAATTATTGCCTTTCTAACTTCTAATATCAGAATCCAATCACAACATTTCCATTCAAGATAAGATATCACATAAGCACACAATTTGCATTCATGCCTATTTAGGGGTAGGGTTGCCCTGTCCAAACTTGAAAATAGGATCCAAGATTCACTAAATCATACAAAAATGCAACAATACAATCCTAGAAAGGAGGGTATCCTGTCTTAGTTTGGAAGGTGCTAAAAAAATTTATATGCAAAGATAGGTTTAGTCAAGAGGGTACATCAGCTATGACTATCAATATACCTCTCATGCCACCTTGGAGTCCAAGGGGATGATCAAATGGTATTAATAGCAAAATTTGACACTTGCTTGTGTACATAACATAGCCCACGAATAGTGTCCAGGATATCATGCAACGAAGCAAGTTTTTTTGAGCCCACAATGATGCAATGAAATAATTAACCACTAATCTCATAAAATAGAAATTTTCAAGTCAAGCTAATTTAATTCTCTAGTGGAGTCGCTAACTGTGGGCGCCATGCCTTTTTCCAGTCTAAGGCCCATTTCCTACACAAACATTGGACTAACTTTCTTTAACAACAAAGAGTCGCTACTTAATTTTTAAAAGGGAATTAAGAAATCTTTAACGATGAAAACTAAGTTAAGGACCAGTCTGTCATAACTAGAAAATTTCTAATCTCGAAAGCTTAAGTACAAAAGGGGAAGGTCATTAAATGAAAGCACCCCTTTTTGTCCAATCTAAAAATTGGCCTTTATTCGCTTTCTATTTTATGGTTTTAGTGGTTAATTATTTCATACAAATTCATTTTAAGCGTAAAATCTTTAACTAACTTAAAACTAGATGATTGAATAAAATAAATATCATTCTTTTTAGATTCGATGAATAAAGCTATGTTTTCATAAAACAATGATTTTTCCATAAAAGAGACTTTTACATATTCCATGGCCATAAACATGAACTAAAATGAACAATATATATTAAAAACATTCAAAACAATCAATTTTGCATAGAAAGAGCATTTAGCTTAGAGTATTGAAAAGGATAATGTAAATAGCACACACATACCAAGGGGGACAGAGAAAAACTTACCTGGATGCTCACTTACACGTCTTAAATGTAGTATAAGAATTAAATAGGACCTAATATGCAACTATTCAAATAAAATATGATCATGGGAAAAGTTTGAGGCTATTAAATGATGAATATGCACAAAGAGGAAAATATCAAATAAAAACAAAAATATAAACTACCTATATGATGATTCAAACTGCACCATGCAGGCTTATTACATAATTAAAATTAACCTAAAACAAGTTGTTCTAATGAAATAAAGAAAACATGTGAGGTAAAGCGAAAAAGCGAGAGGAATGGGAAAACTACATGAGGAGACAACGGATGAATGCCTAAGCTAAAAAGGTACTGAAAGTAAGAAAAGAAGAGTGTCTTACCTTTTGGTTTTCAAGAACCAAAGAGCACGCGAATAGAAAAGCAAGAAAGCTATGTTTTCTTGCTTGTAGGCCTCCCTTAAGCTTAGGTATTGAGTTTTGTTCAAGTCTCAAAGTCCTTAGAAGGTTTTAGTTGCTGTTTTAGGGTGGAAATTTTGGAATAAGGGTGAAGGGGGGGAGGGAAGGTTTCTCTCTCACAAGCTCTCAAAATGCTCTAAAAGGTTCAATTTTTGTCTCCTTTTAAGAAGGGGGGAAGCTTGTGTAGGCACTCTTAGCTTGGGGAGAAAGCCAAGGGAGGCTGCTAGGGTTAGCCATCACTTTCTCCCTAGTGTCTCTCTTTGATTCTTCATTGTCATTCTTGCAAAGTTTTCATTTTTGTCTATTGGGAGAAGATGTTACCGCACAGAGGAAGTGTGGCAGCACAAGAAGTGCGGCCGCACCATGCACATGTGGGCGCACATGGGGCCAGGGGTCCAGGTGTCAATTTTGCAAGTTACATGCGGATTTGCATGGCTAGGTGCGGTTTTGCATGTCTTTTGCCTACTTATGCCCAAGTAAGCTGAAATTGCCCTTAGATCAATGTTTTTTAAAAAATTGATTAGTAATTTTGGAAAATATCATCAATCCAAGTGCAATCGTGCTTCCCTTATCTCTCAGGGTCAAAAAAAAAAAATTTTGAGGTTCAGGGGTACTTTGGTTATTTTTGTAAAATGTCAGTTTTTTGGCCAAAATAGGGTATAACAACAGGTAATACCATTTCATCATCAGGAGGCCTATAAGTGCCCAAAGTCTTATGGTCAGTCAAAATGGGGTGTCTACATTTGGTATCTAAGCTTCCATTTGTCTATCAACAAGCCCCTAGTGCTCACTCAACATCAAACACAAACTACTGAGCCTCCTCTAGTTGTGGTCGAGATACCTTCACCTGAGGTTGGGGTTTTAGATGCTTATTTCAAGAGTATTGGGAGAGCCATGAGCAATAGGCTCAAAATAATGTATCTTTAGAAGGTGAGAACTACCTCCTCTTTGGACATTGAAGCTATCTTGGCAACATCATTCAAGAGGAAGAAACAAGAGGAGATATCCCAAAAAATGACATTGAACAACCCTCTTTCGTTTCTCCTTTGCAATTGATTCTCCCTAGTCCACTTGCTTCTCATTTTCCATCTACTCTTCGACCTAATAATGCTTTGAACCAAGCAGACATTACTTCTTCTCTTAATTCTTTGGTTCGAAGAATAGTGGAGGACAGTCTTCCACCAGAAGTTGTTGTACCTTAAGCTTCTCAAGAGGCTTCTTGCTTAGAAAATGTGCCCTCTAGCAACACAATTGTCCCTCAAACACAAGGTTCTATACTAAAGATGGAGGATATATAGCTTCACACCAGTGATGCTGTTATCGCAGAGCTAACAGGGTTAGAATTACAAGCATTTGGGCCAAAGCTTTAGCAAATTTTGACCCTTTCCACTACTCTTCAATCTTTACCCACTGAGACTGACCCTTTCCAACTGGCTGAGTCCTTTATGAGGCAATTCACTTTAAGTCAGACTTCATTCTTCCAATGCTTAAGTGTTGAAGTCCGTACCAGGTTACTGAAGAAATCTTCTAGGCACTTTTTGTCAACTTTGAGAAATCTTATCTTCAAACATGGATTTGATTTGTGTTGCAAGCCTCTACTACATCATAAATCTTTTTGCATACTATATTTTTACAATTCATGGCCTCCTTGTATTCACATCTTCATATTAAAGAGCTTGCATTTGCTTCTCAGCATCAACTTGCCTAGGATCAAGCCCTAATGAGTTCAACTCAAACCGAGGTTGCCACTTTGAAGTCTAAGTATGAAGAAACCTCGACATAACACAATGCCCTCCTTGCAAGGGAAAAGGCTCTAGAGAAAGAGTTGGTAGAGGTGAGGGTAGCACTGGCCACTACTCATGACAAGCTTCAAGCTTCTAGATCTGGTTTAGTGGATCTAAGGACTGATATCTCCAAGTCACTTGAGTTCGTTCCTTTTATACAAAGTAGGAAAATCATTGTATAGGAACAACTCAAGCAATGTAACATACTTTGGACCCAATTGTCGGCATCTGTACAGTTGCCATCTCATGAATGAAAATGATACTTTTCCAATTTGTTGTTTATAGTACTTTATTTGTGCTTATTCATTATCAAAATTTTATCCTTTATCACATGAAGTTTCCCAAACAATCGAAAAATTTTCTTTCAAGAACTTCTCATTGATTTTTCTTTGATGAACAAAACCATAAAGGTTCTTTAAATGAGAAGCACCATTTGGAAGTACTTTGTGAATTTGGAATGGTTCTTCCCAATTAGGTGATCATTTAATATGGTTTTCTATCCCAAACCTCCTTCTTTAAAACTTTGATGATGTACCCTCTTGTTATAGCATCTTACAGCCTTTTGCTTCTAGATTAGCATTTGGTTTAAGGCCAAAATTCTGGTTTCATCTATAGCTTCCAATTCCATGCACATGCTTTGAACACATTGCTCTTTGTCAAAATAATCTTGTGCTTTGACTCTAAAAGACTTAATATTGATCTCAACTGGTAGCACAACATCATGTCCATATACTAAGGTAAATGTAGTAACTCTAGTGCTTGGTCTTTTCGAAGTCCCATAGGCCCATAGAACTTCTGAGAGTATATTATGCCAATCACTGGGATTATCTTCAATTATTCTTTGAATCCCTTTCTTGATGGCTTTATTGAATGATTCTGCTTGTCTATTATTCTGAGCGTACAAAGGAGTAGATTTAATTATACTCATGCCAAAGTTGCCAACAAAAGTCCTCACTGAACTACCTTCAAATACTGTCACATTATTAACAGTAATAGTTTGGGGAATGCCAAACCTGTGAATTAAACCTTTAATGAAGTCGATTCGCTCAATTTGTTCTATAGATCTACAAGGTTTTGCCTCAACTCACTTGGTAAAGTAATTTGTGGCCACTAGAATGAAGCATTGATGCTTCAAAGATGGATGATAATTTTTTTCAATCATATCCTTTGCCTATCCCCTAAAAGGCCAAGATTTGATTATTGAATGCAATTCATCTACTTGCACATGTCTGATCATTCTATACTTTTGGTATGCTTGAAAACCTTTTGCCTACTTAGGCCTTGTTTGGCAAAGGCTTTTTTTTTTTTTTAGCTTTTCGGGCTAAAATTCACAAAAAGGCAAAATAGACTAAAATATCCAATAAGTTAAAATGTCACATCAAACCCATAATCATTTTACTTTTTCTCTCACAAACGTCACATCCAACTACAAAAAAATCCAACCCTCTTCACAAACACAAATATTTTAGCCTACTAAAATAGCCAACTTCCCAAACAAGGTCTTAATGCAGTCTTTAAGTATACTTGGCCAATAATATAAATGTCTTCTTAACAACCATCTCATTTTAATTCTTGGCTGATGAGCACCACAAATGCCCTTATGAATCTCAGTCATTGTTGTTCTAGCCTCTTTGGGCCCTAAACATTCTAACATAAATCCATCTGCTCCTCTCTTAAAGAGATTGTTGTCATATAAGATACAGTTTATGGATCTCAGCTTTATAGCTCTTTTAGCTTTTGCATCTAGACTTGATAAATATTGAATAATTAGGTGTCTCTAATCACCTTGTGGCACATCCAATGCATAAGCCTCCATTACTAACCTTATTTCTTCTAAGGGTAAGAGTCTCTGAAAGAAACTTGAGATGAAATCATTTCATAGTCATCATTTTTCTTGTAATTCAAATCTATTTGAGCTACCTCGTTAGCCTATTCATTCATGAATTTGGAGTTGTGTGATATCACCAGATCCTTAAAGTGAGAACTAAGTATAGAGCAGCCACATAATAAGGCAATAAACCATGGCTTTGGCACTTAAAAAATACCATTTAATTGGTTCACCACCAACTGAAAATCTTCAAAAAACTTCCACAACTTCTTCCTTTAAGCCTAACAAAAGTTCTAGCCCTATAACCAAGGCTTCATACTCAATTTGGTTGTTAGAACAATCTGGCTTATCTATTTTGAAACCATGTTGGGTTTGCGCACTTGTTGGGGATTCAATTATAATTCTTATTCCAGCCAAACCATTGGCTTTCAAACCATCAAACTATAATTTCCAAGGCACAATACTAGCCATGTTTAAATCATTTATGTTTTTATGTTCTTCCTGGCATGGATGGTTAGCAAGAAAATCTACCAGAGCTTGTCCCTTAAATGATTTTTGGGGAACATATTCGAGACAAAATTCTAACAAGGCTAAAACCCATTTACCAATCCTACCACTCAAGATAGGTATTGTTAACATGTATTTAATCAAATCAGTTGAAGCAATCACATGTATAACTCTAAGTAAAAGGTAATATCTCAATTTCATTGCAGCGAAGTACAAGGTTAAACATAATTTCTCAATGAGTGAGTATTTACATTCGCAAGTATTTAAAAATCTACTAAGGTAGTAAATTGCTTGTTCTTTACCTTTTTCATTGCCCTGAGCCAGTAAGACTTCAATGGACTCTTCTTCTGTTGCTATGCATAACTTCAAGGGCTTGTATTCCCTTGGAGGCATCTACACATGTGGCATAGCCAGATAGTTTTTGATGGCTTCGAATGCTCTGCATCCTACCTAAAATTCTCATGTTCTTTAAGCTTCAACAAAGAAGAAAAGACTTTAGTTTTACCAGCAATATTAGCAATAAATCTTTTAAGGAAATTAACTTGTCCAAGAAATTTTTGCAATTCTTACTGGTAGGTGGTTTAGCTTCAATGATGGCTTTGGTTTTGTTTCTATCAATTTGGATTCCTCTTTTATGGACTATAAACCCCATAAAGTTACCAGCAAATACTTCCAAAGAACATTTCAAAGGGTTGAGCTTAAGTTGGTAATGTCTCATTCTCTTGAATAACACTTCCAAATGAGCCAAATGATCTTCGAAGGACTAAGACTTGACTATAATGTTGACAATATAGCATTCTAAAAATCCCCCAAGCAGGTCATGAAAGATAGTATTCATTGCTCTTTGATAAGTTACCCCATCATTTTTCAACCCAAAATACATTTTTACCCATTCAAAGGTCCTCAAATTACCTGGACACCTAAAAGATATTTTGTGGACATCCTCCTCAACTATGCAGATTTGGTTATACCAAGAATGACCATACAAAAATAGACAAAATGGTGTGTCCAGTTGATCTATCCACAAGCAAATCTACTACTGGCAGTGGGTACTCATCTTTAGGAGTTGGCAAATTCAAATTTTGAAAGTCAATACAGACTCTTATTTTTTATTCTTTTTAATAATTGGTACAACATTAGAGAGTCATTCAACATATTTGGTTATTCTAATGAAACCAACTTTCAGCAATCTGGAAATCTCTTCTTTAACTTTGAGAGTTACTTCCGGGCTTATCCTTCGAGGCTTCTACTTGTGTGCCTTAAAGTTGGGCTTGATAGGAAGCCTATGTTCCACAAGTTGCCTATCCAATCCAAGTAACTTGCTGTAATCCTAGGCAAAGCGATTTTTATATTCTTTTAGTATAGCCACTAACTTGGTTCTAGAAATTGGATCCAACCAAGAACTAATAAAGGTTAGGTTCGAATCTCCTTTTTCATCCAATTTTTCTTCTTCTAAAGGGTCTTGAGACTTAATTGTCAGACTTTTTATGATTTTAAACTCCTTTAGTACTTATGGCAACTCAACTTTTGGTTGCTTTTCTTAGGCAAAATCTACTCAAAAGGTCTTATCTTCCTAGATTTTGGGTTCAATATCTAGAGCCAATACATTGTTCGAAGCCAATACTAAGGCTTGTTACGTTGTTTGTGATTCAGAACCAATTATTTGGCTCATCTTTGTTGCATGCTGGCTCATCCAAACCATTTTGGATCCTCTATTTTAGATAAACCACTTCTTCATTAGTGCCATATTCTGCAGTCTCATCTTGAGTCTTCATCAAACTTAGGGGTATGACACCATGCTTGTATAACTTTGCCTCTGCAAAATCTGTGCGAGCAGTGAATGGTTTGTGCGTCTACTTGCACCTCTTCCATCTCTCCATCTCCCAATGAAGATGTTACACACTTGTTAGTATGTATCCAACCTCTTCATAGCAAGGCATTATACTTGGCCTTGTCATCCACCATAAAGAAGGCTGCTACACAACTTCTAGATCCTACATTGAGGTTGACTGGTAGGATCCCTTTGGCTATTTGCTTGTCTTCTGTGAAGCCTGTTATAGAGATGGTAACTGGGATAAGTTTTGGGCAACAAGTTGACTGCTGCTCCATTGTCCACTAGAACCTTGCTCATTAGCACACCATCGAAGTGGGCCTTGATGTACAAGGGCTTAATATGTTAGGTCATGCTTAGAGTGGACTCAAAAGCGTAGCAAGGTGTAGCCACCGGGACCTCCATTTCTACTGTATCTTCAAAGTTTATTTCCTCCACCATTTTAGTTACTGTGGTGGAGGTTTTTTCCTCTAATTCCACCCATTCCTCAATAGATGGACTTCTCCTTTGTGTAGGATCTGCTTTAAACCTATGAGGTAAAATATACACCATGTTTATGTTAACTGTGGGTAATGAGCCAAATTAGATTTGGACTACTTTACTTTGTGTTTTTGACCCCTTCAAAGGTTCTAAATTGCTCTCGTATCTTTGGGCCCCTTCTATTTCCATGGGAGTGGCCACTTTCATATCTAAAGGCTTGGTCTATTCAACCATTATAGCTTCGAATAGGCCACTTCCATTTCTCCTAAGCCATCTGGTTGGCTTACTGAGTCTTCAAACTCATAGTCACTCTCCATTAAGGCTTTAGATAGGCCTACTAGACTAGCATTTTCCTTGGCTATAAATTCAGCATGAATTCGAACCGATTGTTCTCTGTTTTCTTGAGTATAGTTGTACTTCGCATGCTCTTTGTCAACCGCTTTCTCTCTGCCACTCCCACTTCTTGGGACTATTGTGATAGAGTCTTGAAGCTGCTTCTTATACTTGGTGAATTTTCTCTAGATCTTTCTCCTCTATGATTTGGAGAGAATAGGCATCACATCTAGTTGTTTACTCTTTTTATCCTTAACATGAACCACTGATTAGGCACAATGGGAGGTGGCCTATCCATTTTTGGCTTTTGATCTTCTCTAGGCTCAGATTGGATAAGCTTAGGCCTGATCTGTGTAACAAACCAATCAGGGACTTCTAGAACCCAGGAATAAACCTGCCTTTCGCTGGAGTAAGGAGTGTTTGGCTTCAAAGGTCCAACTTTTAGACTTCTTTCAAGTCTTCTCTCTTTGTAGGATTGGTAAAGAGAGTTTGCTTTTGGATCGCTCCCCAAGCTTCCATGGCTCCTGCCCCAAGATAAGCCTCAAATGTCTCTTCCTCTGTTCTAAGATGCTCTTTTAGAGGGAGCAATTGGGTCATATGGATTATAGCTTCTCTATGACCTACAGGTGGACAAACGTCAGGGCCGGGGCAGTTACGAGTTAGGCCAGCACTACATAATAAGGGAATTTGTGTCTACCCAAGCCCGACCTGACCTTAATATTAGGCCTTTATATCTGCCCATGCCCAAGCCCAGTCCAAAAAATAATTATAAATCCCAAGTCCACCCATCTGGTTATATCTTAAAATATATATATTCCATAATTAAATTCAATCACACATTATATTTATTATATAAATATATTGACATCATTGTAAATATAAAGGTTTTGTGTATAAATTGAAGAATTTCTTAAATAAATTCAATCACACATCACAACAAATGTGAGTTTCAATAAAATCAACAAAGATAAAGTCTAGATCCCAACAAAAAATATTTATTTTAATGTATTATAGATAATTAATTAATTTAATAATGGGTCAGGTCAGACTGAGCTGGGTTGAAAGTATAAATTCTAAGCCCAACCCATTAATATTTCGGGCTAAAAAAGTTGGCCCAACCTAGCCCTATGGGCTAAAACAACCTTCCCAAGCCCTAGAAAAATAGGGCGAGTAAGATGGGCCAACGAACCGATGTCCACCCCTACTGTGACCTACTTCTAGGTCTTCTAGTCACAAAATTCGGAGTGTCTCTGGTATTGACCTTCTCGGTCCATTCACCCACTTGTAACCCACTTTGTATCTGAGGCAAATCCTTTGGACAGTTGAAGTTTCCAAAGTGCATGCAGCCACTAAGCAATCAAACTATTTTTGGCCATGTAAGGGGCCAGTATCTTCAGTTTTTAGATGACTCATTTTCCTTCAAAGCCAATTCCTGTCTCATTTCATTCATTTGGACATCAAAGACATCCAAATCTCTAATATGCAAACCACTCTCCAAAGCCTAGTTGATTTTCTGGAAGTCCAATATTAGCTCCCACTTCATTTGCCTTAGGGAAAAGGTTTGTCAATTCCTATGGTTTTTTTAGCCCTGGTTGGAGACTACAACCTACCCTTCTTGATTGGCTCCTGAATCCTCAAAAAATAATGCAGTTTTTAGTAGAATGGGACTATGTATTATGGCATTTACAATACAATTTACCATCTAATTCATTCGAAGTAGGCATAACTAACTCTTTTAGGGAGCTTTAGGAACTATGCCACCAGTAAATGATCAAATATTTCAACAGCTTTAGTTACATCAAAAGAATACTTTCTGTGAAATCCCTTCTTTTTAAACTGATGGTCTATGGTAGTTTATTTCTTGATTAAGGCATCACATGTGTATGGTTCTTTGCCTACAATTTCATAAGCATCTTCCTCCATGTTAGGGTCCCTATAATAGGACCTATACGAGGTATTGTTCCTACCTTGTCTTCTTTTAACAAAGATTCATACCTAGACAATTTATAAGTCAAGTTAACTAGCTCTTTGAAATCTGCTAAATCAAACTTCTTTCAAAGCCTGAACTCTAAGCCATTTTTAGCCAATCTAACAAACTCAGGCTCTGGAAAGACCACTCTACATTTGTTTCCAGCCCTTTTAAATATGGCTATAAATTGAGTAGCCTTCTCTTCTGGCCTTTGGCTTAACCTTGTTAAATTAGCCATTATAACTTTTGGCTCAATTTGGAAGAAATATGCACAAAACATTTCTCCATTTGTTGCAAAGTTTGGACAGTCTCAAGTAATAGACTAATATACCAAGCAATTTCTGGGCCAATCAATGAACTAGGGAATAATCGAAGCTTCATAAAGTCATGATTCGTGTATTCCCCACATTGCCTTGTAAACCTAGCAATATGTTCTACAGTTGAGTGGTTCCCATCCCCTCAAAATAGGGTGAAATCTAGACCTTGTAGCCCGTCGAAAACTCATGTAACCTATCAACCCAATCAGGATAAGGTTTTCTATAGCTTGGTGTTTGTACCCTCCAAGCCATGGGGCCACATACTTCTCGCACCATGTTTAACTACTATGTCTTAGGAATAACATTACGAGCAACTGGCTGGCCCACCAACTGAGGTGTTGGAGCATGCTGTTGTCCATATCCTTGATGGACTTGTTTTCTAGGGACATATGGCTGTAGGTTTGGCACTATTGCATGGGGGCACTGTGCCTTTTTTGAGTCTAAAGCATGCATCCCGCACTGACATGCTATGACCAACAAAGAGTCACCACTTAATTTTTAAAAGGGAATAAAGAAACCTTTAACAATGAAAACTAAGTTAAGGACCACTCCATCATAACTAAGAAAATTCCGAGTTCGAGAGCTTAGGTACAAAAACGGAAGGACATTTGTATGGAAGAACCCCCTTTTGCCCAATCCAAAGATTGGCCTCTACTCACTTTCTGTTTTATGATTTTAGTGGTTAATTGTTCACATAAATTCATTTTAGCCCCTAAAATCTTTAACTAACCCTAAAACTATGTGATTGAGAAAAAAACAAGTGTCATTCATTTGAGTTACAAGAATAAAGCCACATCTTTAAATAAAATAAAGATTTTCCACCAAAAATGGATTTTAAGCAAAACATTACCATAAACTTGAACTAAGATGAACAACACTTACAAAAACATTCAAAACAGCCAATTTTACATATAGAGAGCATATAAACTTGCATAATTAAAAAATAATGCAAATAGCATACATATGCCAAGAAAGAAAAGAGGAACTTACCCGGATGCCCACTTATGCATCTTGCATGCAAGAAATGAAATAAATATGACCTAATCATGCAACTAACATACAAAAACATGAACTTAGGTCCGGTTTGAGACTACTAATGATGCCTATGCACAAAATATAACTAACTAGTTAAAAGCATAAATATGAACTAAACTACATGATGATCCAGACTGGGCCTAACACATGATTTCTAGATGATTAAATGAACCTAAACATACTGTTCTAATGAACATAAAGAACACATTCAAGAGGAGGTGAGAAGGTGAATAAAGATGCCTAAACTACATAATGTTAAGATGGATTAATGTCATAGCATGGATAAACACTGGAAATAAGCAAAGAATAGGTATTGAAATTGACAAAAAGATGGGGGTTTTACCTGCTAGTTTATGTAAATCGAAGAACACACACAAAAGAGAGCAAGAAAAGTCGAGTTCCTTGCTTGTAAGCCTTCCTCAAGCTTTGGTTCCAAGTTAGGGTTCAAGAGCTTCAGTCCTTAGTTGTTTTCAGAGGCTTAGAATCGCTGTGAGGGTGAGGAAGTTTCATGGCTAAGGCAAATGAAGGAGAAGAGAGGAGTGTTTGCTGTCAAAAGTTTACAAAAGGTTCAAAATTCTTAACCCCTTTGAAAGGGATGGGAGGGATTCCTTATATAGGCTGGAGGGGGCATGGGGAGCATGCTAGGGCAACCCCCATCGCTTCCTCTACCGCCTCTCTTAAAAAATGCATCAAGATTGAGTTTCCAAAAATAAATTTGCCATGTTTGGATGTACGCAATCGCAACGATTGTGTGCACACACATATAAGGTGTGCATGCACCCTTTGCCATGGCATATGTGTCATCCCTGCATGCATTCCATGTTCTTGGCTTACTTGTGGCCCAAGTATGTCCGAACTGCCTTCAAACAATGTTTTTTGATAAAACCGGTCACTAATTTTGGAAAATACGTTTGATTAAAGCACAACCAGGCTTATCTCTCTTTCTCAGGGTTAAAAAGTTGATTTTTCAGCTAAAAATGGGTTCAGAGATAAAATGGTCATTTTCACAAAAAGTTAGCTCCGTTTGGTTTAGTTTTTGAAACATGATTTGAGTTTTGAGTTGTATTTCGAGTTTTGAGTTTTTTAAATGAGTTTTGAAAGAGAACATTTGTTTGGTTATGAGTTTTGAAAAAAAATTTAAATT